TTCTTGGCAACATCCAAGTATAAGGTTTGTAAGCTCCCCTAAGTCTAATAGTCAAAGGTTGAGGCTCGTAAACTCCCCTAAGTTCTATATTCAAGAAAACTAAAATATATCAATGTTAGGCTATTTTATTTTTCTTAGCAGCATTAGAGTCTGAGGTTTGTAAGCTCTCTGTAAATCTAATTGTCCAAAGGTTGAGGTTTGTAAGCTCCCCCTTAGTTCTATATACAAGAAAAATAAAATATCTATCCTAGAAAAAACAAATAACCGAAATAACAGAATTTTAAAAATAATTAAAATAAACAACATTTAAAACTGAGTGGGTTCAGATTCTTATTAAATACCTCTATATCTTTCTCCCCCTTTTGTCAAATACAAATGACGAACGAAAATAAATATTTTCATAAATGTAAAGAAGATCATCATTACGTGATCAGTTCCCAAGGAAGAGAACATGATTCAAGTAATAGAGAGCATTACAAGTTTGTACAATGCATCTTTAATAATTATTGATCATAAAACTCCCAAGGATCGAGAAAAAGATTTTATTCCATCGTTTAGGTTACCCAGACTCCATTTTAAAAAGCACCCAAAGCATAAGTCATTTTCATTAAACATCCTTCAGAGCAACATGGAAGCAACATCTAAGAGTACCAACATCTCTATCATAACAAAAATTTTAGAGGATACTACTAGTCTGGAGACGCAAAGTCTTCAAAAATCAGCAAGTTCTGAAGCTTCTGAAACTGGTTCTTTGTCTACTGTAATAAAATCTTCTAAAGAGGGTTCATCATCATCTGCAATGAGACCTTTTGAATCAGGTTCATCAACATCTATTTTGAAACACAAGAAGAAATCAATGAAGAAGAAGAAGAAGAACAACAAAGACGAAGTAATCATTCATATGACTATTTTGGATTCTGAGGAGAAGGATAAGCCAAACTATGATTAGGGAAACTGGATAGGTCGTAAGGCATTAGAGGCTTTAGATTAATGTAATCTTATTACTTTCCATCCTTATTTGTAATCCTTTATTTTTATTAATGAAAATTTGTTTTGACCATTATTAAATTTGCATAAGTACAATTTTTACTTTTTCCTTTGATTTTCTGACAAATGCATAAACGAAGTAAAAAGAAGAAAAGATGAAATAATAAAACCAACAAATAGCTGCTAAGATGACATTTATAATTGTATTAAGAGAATTCTTATTAGGACTACATACTAGACATCATTTCCCAAGAGTCAGACGTTAAAAGATTGATTTGACTAATCAATACTAAAACTCTGAACACTCAAGGTAACAGATGAATAGACTCTATACAATGTTCAACAAACCATCTTATTGAATCACTTAATCTTTATAACACCAAAAATGTATAAGCAGAAGTAAATATGGGTTCCGAGGAGAGATTTTAGAAAGGCAACAATACCGAAAGTAATAACTCAAGCAAACGAGAAGAATGTAGCAACTGAAGCATCTTTAAGAAAGCAGATTTCTTCAAAGGCATATACATCTACATCAACCTTTGTTGAGACAACGAGAAGAAAAAGAACTTCTAGGTCAAAATGCAGAAATCTTCTGAGGAAGGAAGCCGTTGATTTTGCAAAGGAAGATTAGGAGGATTATTTAAGCAGTCTAGATATGTCAGATGAGCCTAGGGAATTCCTTAGAACAGATCCAAATGTCTAGAAAGTTTTTGATAATATGTAATGACTACTAATCTTTCAATGAGTATGTTGTAAGTTTTTAGAGTTTTAATCCTAATTTTTTTCATTCTCTAAACAACATAAGAAATGCACATATAACAATTAAGACACACAAGAACATGAACAATTTTTAAAAACTAGATTGCTTAATGCAAGATGTTTAACTATTACAAGGCATATATTTGCAGAAATCCAACAATAAAATCTCTCATAGATAGCTTCAAGCTTTTCTCTCCAGATTTTAGAAGTATCATCCTCATAACTTATGACGACTCCATGTTGGATCATTAGTTCAGAAAGAACTCATCCATAAGAAATGAAGAATGTTTTTCCCTTATGAAAGGATGAAAGAGTCTTCTTCGGACAGTCAAACATAATTTGAGGAAGATCAATCTGCAAGTATAAATTGAGAAGAAGTAGCAAATCTTTTTCAATAGAGTTCACAAGGTCTAGACCCTTGTCCTTAGGTAGCAAGTTTGAGTTCAGAATCTGATTCCAAATAATTGCATTAGGACGAAGATTTGAGACCAGAGAAAGATTTGATAGATCTACAAAAGTACGTAAAGTAGGAAGATAGTACTCCCAAACAAGAGTACCTGAGATTTCTCCAATCTCCCCACAGTTAATTACATTAGAAATCATCTTAGAGGTTACTGTTATAAAAATACTAGAAATCTTGGAAAAAATAGCATACTAAGAATTTAGCTCGACAATAGAAGCATAAACCCAAAATTCTTTGACAAGATTTGGATAAGTAAAACCATAGAGCATATCAAAGTATCCATTCCAACCTTGTTCAAAAACTGTCTTCCATAAGTTAAAACCTAACTTAAGTAACTCTTCAAAACCATAAACTTTTCATTGATTACAAACTTTGGTTTGATCAATACACAAAAGAAAAACAAATAAAAAGAAAAGATCTTAACAAGATTCTGACCATAGAGGAATAAGAGTTTTTTCAGAGGGACAAAAAAGGTGACACGAAATGATGTTTCATAAAGACAAGGGATAGAGACCATAGACATACAAAATAAGAAAACATGATTACCCCAAGGGTTCTTACCTAGCAGACTTCTTGAACATACTAAATGATTTTCAAATATATGGATTTTTAAGTAAGACAGGTTTTTAAAATAATTCTTACTTAAGCTGCTTTATCAGAAGTAAAGATTCTTTTTCTGAATCTCATAAACTAACGATTTTTCAACAGGTATCTTTCATCAGAGTGTAGTAGGATTAAACTTCGAGTGAGACAACTTCTGTTAGTCATCAATCTTTTGATATTCTATTCAGAGTCAAGTATTTTCTCTTGAAACTAGAGTCATACTTGATTTATGAATATTGAATTGGTTTCTTTGACTACTAACTAGCAGTAATATTATCACAAAAGGTGAGAATAATGTTTCCATAAATATGATCATCATCTAGTTAATGAAATATTCTGCATAGTCAAATACAACATAGTTTCTTTTCAAAGATTTCTGGAGATTCTTTTGTTGTCAACAAAAAGAATTTCTTTAGAGATATAACAGAGACTTTATATTCACTCATACTTAAATAATTCATTTAGTTAAGAAGTCTGTAAGAGTAAAGAACTAAACATACGTTTTTTTTTTCGTTTTTCTTGGTCAGACTTCGGGCAAGTATTCAGATTTGACCATGGAATCTGAATCTTGTCTTCAAATGGATTCTGAGTCAATGACAGTTAAACTAATGATTCCACTTTCTTCTCCAAACTCCATACTTCTTGCATTCTTCAGCTTTTGAGTTTGGTGTGTAGGATTTTCTTCCATCACATGTTCTAAGCAATCATTGATCAAGTGTCTTGGAAGATGCCTTGCTCCTTTTTTCTGTGACACCTGCAACAAATACAATGTAGGATTTTGGTACCCGTAGTTTTATAGAAGTTCTTTTATTTTATTCACTTCTCAAAAATGATTCTATAAGCATAATTATTTATTATGTTTAAGCTTATTTGATTTTGAGTGAACCCTTTGATATACATAATATTTTTTTAAATAGTAAAGAGGGCTAAAGCCCAACAAAAAGAAAAAGAAACTAAACACACACTGTCTTAAATGTAGTTACACCTCTAACATCTTTTTCTAACAATTAATTAGTAATAAATTCTATGTAAAGTAAAAAAAACAATAAACTCTTAATCAAGATTGCAATTAACATTTCTAACAATCTAGCAATAACATTTAGTGTAGAGTAAAAATAACAAACTTTGAATCAAGATGTAACTAACAATGACTAACGCATTCGCACACTTATTTGATTCTCTGTATGCACGCTCCACTCTCACAACCTCACCATTATTGATTAAACTCATAATCTTTTTAATCAAAGTCAAACCTCATTTTGCATGCTCTCTTTCTCTATCGCATGTATTATGTCCATAGAATCCGCATTAATCTCCACCCTACGCAACCCTAACAACTTTATAAGATTAAGACCTTCAAAAATCTCCATAATTCTGTCATAAAAGCACGACAGTAATTCAGAAATTTCGCAAACCCTCTGATCCACGCTTCATTGTTGATACACAAAATTCTTTAATTGATCCGTTTTATAATATATTTGTTGATATTAAAATCGTTGCGGACGACCAAACTAAATATTAAAGTAATTTCATAACCTTATATCTAAATTGATAAAATTGTTCGGCCTCAATGTTTTTCCTTTAAACTATTTTTATAATTATGTTTATACTTTTCACAATTATTGTTAATACCTCTATACATACGTACCATGCTAAAACGAGTTTTCTTATCATGGTTTAATACACTTATAATGTGATAAATTTAAGATACTCACGCCTTAAACAAATCACTAATGATAAAAGCTTAACCTTTTAAGCATCCCACACAAGTTTTCCTTTTGCCTTACACATTTCCATAAATAATACATTTTCTATAATTAGCATAAAACTTTCCTTGTTTGATTGTTTCACTATACGTAGGCCATTTTTCTAGACCATAGAAATTCAAGCAATAGGGTAGCTTTATACATCAAATATCTTATAAGAGGTTGTCACAGATGCTTTCAATAAAGTAATAATACACCAAAAGTAAAGGGTAAAAAGGGAAAAGAGTAATTAAAAACATATACTATAAAATAGTATAATAGTAATAAATTAATAATTTTTTTGTTATATATACATGAACCCATTTGTACTAAGAGAATTCATCAACATCTAGCTTTGTACTCATCTTACATCTATCTATAATATTGGCATTCTTTCTGAGGTTCCACACCACAAACAACATTGTTAGCAGAGAGTAACATCAATGGTTGTTCAAGAACCTCAAGCTCTGCTACATGTTGGTGATGTTCTTGTCGACGATGGAAAAAAACAACACCGTGATACAAGTTTTGATCCAAGCGCTCCTCCACCATTTAAGATTGCGGAGGTTCGCGCGGCGATCCCGAAGCATTGTTGGGTTAAGAATCCATGGATTTCTCTTAGTTATCTTCTCAGAGATGTTTTCATTGTCACTGCATTGGTAGCTGCTGCAATTCATTTCAATAATTGGATCTTTTGGCCAATTTATTGGATTTCTCAAGGGACTATGTTTTGGGCTCTTTTTGTTCTTGGACATGATTGGTATTATTTTTTTATTTTTTTATTTTTATTTCAGTTATTTTTTATGTTAATTTAAATCACTAGATTTGTTTTTGTTTTGATTTCAACAGTGGCCATGGAAGCTTTTCAAATAGTCTTAAGCTGAATAGTTTTGTGGGCCATATCTTGCATTCTTTCATTCTTGTTCCATATCATGGATGGTTTGTTATTTCTTTTATATGATTTTTTTTAGATGCTATTTTATTTTCTTTTAATTACCATTTTTTTTAAAATCTGCTTTGATTTATTTTTACAGGAGAATCAGTCATAGAACTCATCATCAAAATCATGGTCATGTTGAGAAAGATGAATCATGGGTTCCTGTGTGTAAACTTTTTCCTTCTTTTCACATCCTTTTCACATTCAAAACTTACCGCGAGATTGACAGAGTGACTGTACTCTGTCAATCTCGCTGTGTAGTCTTAATTTATCTAACAATTTCTCATTATTATGTTTAATGTTTCAGATGACAGAGAAGATCTACAAGAGTTTAGACAACATGACAAAAACAATGAGATTTTCTTTTCCTTTTCCAATCTTTGCATACCCATTTTATTTGGTGAAAGATTCTCTTTCAACTTTTTTTGTTTTGTTTTGTTACATTATAATTAAAAATAATAATTTCTAACCATTTTTTTTTATGTGAAACACATTTTCAGTGGAACAGAAGTCCTGGAAAAGAAGGTTCACATTTCAATCCATATAGCAAATTGTTCTCACCAAATGAGAGAAACGATGTGATAACTTCAACATCTTGTTGGGGTATCATGTTTTGTGTGCTTGTTTATTTATCCTTAATAAAGGGTCCTTTTTTTATGCTCAAAATCTATGGAGTTCCTTATTGGGTAATTATTATTATTATTACTATTATTTAGTATTAATTTGACATTTTTTTATGTTTAAAATTAGTGTAACTGATTTACTTATTTTTCTGAAATCTAGATCTTTATCATGTGGTTGGACTTTGTCACATATATGCATCACCATGGTTACCCTCAAAAACTACCTTGGTATCGTGGCAAGGTAATATAAAAATATTACTATTATTTTTTATTCAATCTTTTTTGTCTCTGTTTTCTTGGCTGTTATGCGGTGAATAAGAATCTCTAAAAGCTAAGGAATAGGACTATAGTTTCAGATTTCTTTTTCTTTTTTAATTCCTTTTTCTTTTTCTCTAAAAGCCAAGATATTTTGAAGATGAAATAATATAATTATAAGCAATTTTGTCGTATATGAAAAGTATTTAGGAACTTGTTCTAAGAAATAATGTTAGATGTAAGTTTTTAAATATAGTTTTCTGCGATTTCGATTAATATTGATATTAGTATTAGTATCTGCATCTTCTGATACCGTATGGATTATTAACTGGATGTGATATTTTGGGGATTTGACAGGAATGGGACTATCTAAGGGGTGGTTTAACGACAGTGGATCGTGACTATGGTTGGGTTAACAACATCCACCATGACATTGGAACACATGTTATTCATCATCTTTTTCCTCAAATTCCACATTATCATTTGGTTGAAGCGGTACATTCTCTTTCTTTCACTCTTTGTTTTTTACTTTCTCAATAACAAAAGAATAAAGGCCCCAAACAATAAAGAAAAAGGCCCACAATTCAACTTGCATAGTTGCCTTAGAAGTGGAGTGTGACAACACAAGGACTTTGTCTTTAATGTTAGGCTTCATACACTAGAGTTAACTCCACTTGTTTCTTTCTTTAATTTCCATTCAAAGCCAAAAAACAACCTCAAAAATTTGTCTATGTTGCACTTTTATGCGATTTTACGATATAATCAATCTCAACCATTTATTTCAGATCAAACGATTCAAAAAAAAATTTCACTCTCATGCAGTAAATGAATTCAACTTACTAAACATATCTATTTTGTCTGCATTTTTTACTGAGATAGATTAAGGTGTAAGCGGTGCATCCTACTCCACTCCGTCCTATTTTTTTTTAAGACTCGAACTAACTATCTACATGATTGTTCTGTCCCACCCTAATAATTTTAAAAAATTTACAAGACGGACATGATCATTTGCAACCGTATCTTAGTTGCATGTTTGAAGGAAATGGTGATAAAATAAAGGATGTATTACCATATTAGTTTTATTAATAGAAGAGAAAATAAACGAGAAAGGTAGGGTGTATTACCAAAACAGGAGGTATGAATAGTTACCAATTATAGAATGAGAAACAAACATTGTCATGAATTGTACAATAAAGCATGTTTGTGTTTGTTTTTTCCTCTGTGATTTCAGACCGAAGCAGCAAAGCCAGTGCTAGGGAAATATTATCGAGAGCCAGAGAAATCTGGAGCAGTCCCATTTCATCTGTTTAAGTACTTTATACACAGCATGAATCAGGACCACTTCGTCAGTGATTCTGGAGACATTGTTTTCTACCAAACAGACCCTAACCTCCATAATAATTCTTGGACCAAGTCTGAGTAACATTCATTCTCAATTCAACAACTCTATCATTTCTTAGCTTTTTTCTATACCTAATCCAATTATCTCAATTACTAGTCAAATTAATTGTATTCCATTTTATTTATCATGCATTACCTTAGAAATGTACCTTAAATTTATCAATAATTCATCATTTTTTGAGTGATTTATAATCCATCATTGTTAAGTTATAAATGCTTCACCTACTTGTACAAGATACCAATAAATGGTATTACATGACTTTAGCATCGATAGGGTAGACAAAATATATCATTCCATCTTTTTACTTATTTTCAACCAAAAAAAATAAAGATCATTTTGTTTAATAATTTGTTTTTTATTTTAAGCCTCTTTGTAACAAATACATGAAAAAAAAATGGTACACATAAGATAAGTGATCAACCTCGTACATGTCATGTGAATAATATGTGTATTTTTATAGCAAGCAACAATGAGCTAATGAGTTAATTAATAAAACAATATTTAATAGTTGTGTGATTAAGACCTTTAATTTATTTTACTAATGAAATACATGTGTCATAATATATTGGATATATATCAAATGAATAAATTGTTCGTATTTTGTTTTTTTATAGAATTAATTTGCATTATATTTTGGTCTGAGCTAATGAGCTAATGATTCTGTTTGATTCAACTTTATAAAGAATGTATTTTATTTGTATTTTTAAAAATAGATTTTCTAAAACTGTTTTAAAAATATTATAACTTTTTTTATATTTGTTTTTCTACATTGAAAGATTAATTTTGACATCTTATAACATAAATATATATTATCGAAAATCAAAACATAATCGAAATCACAATTTTGGTTAAAAAAATGATTTTTATAAAAAACCATTTGAATAACTCAAAAATTAAGTGATTTTTTTAAAAATTTTCAATAAATTTTTTTTCAATGATGAAATATCCAAAATAATATTTTTTTTAAAAAAACAACTATTCAAACTAATTTTTTATTTAAAACTTTTATAAAAAATTTCTTCATAAATTATATTTACACAAAATTATATTACATGTAAAAATCATTTAAAGAAAAACATTAAGACAAAACAAACGGTCCAATATGATATCAACAGAGGATTAAAACATTTCTGATGATGATAAACAAAACATTCAATTGGCCACACCAACGATGCAATCTATAATATAAGAAAATTTAATGTTGTGGAAAACCCATTGATGCCTTTTTCCTTAAATTTTACATATCATCAAAATAAGAGCAATTTGTGTTCACAATTTATTTTTTGCAACCAAAATATCATTTCTAATTATATGGTTGAGTAACAAGTCTATTTAGTTTCACTTTATTTCCAATTGCACATGTATATATAACTTGTACTTTGTAACCAACTTTATATCTTTCAATTTTGCAACTATTGTGTTGTGAATCAGATACCTTGAAACAAAGTATAAACGGTTTCTTAATGATCAAGAAACACACAAGGGTTAGGGTTAACAAAGACAACAAGGTAAAACAACAAGGTAAAACAACAAGGAACAACAAGGATTGGTTATTAAACTATCATTCTTTCCTTTCTCTTAGAACAAGATTAAAACTATACAAGAATAACAAAATAACCTCTCTTGCTTGAAATTAGGATTTTATCTTTTTATTTTTCCTTACTCCAAGATTGAGAAACTACCATCCTATTTATAAGAAAAATAGCACACTAATCTAATGGGCTTTTTAACAATTACCCATTACAAGCTAACTTAGGATACAAACTAACTTAAACAATTGGGCTTACAAGCAATGCCCAATTCAACATGCTAACAACCCTAGCAATATTGACTAATGTATGTTAGAGCAAACTTTGACTGCAACACGCATTACTCCGACAGCATCATGCGAACAGACTTCGATCTCATGCTTAATTCATGTCGAACCAAAAAGCTACCCTTCGACCATACTAGAGTTCGATCTGACATCTCACAAATCTCCACCTTGGATCTAACTCTATAACATCAAGAAACTAGCTTTCTACATGCAGCTTTATTAACTGCATACAGTAGAAAAACTTGCAATTGGGCAACGTCTTGGTGATCATATCAGCAGCATTATGATCTGTCGAAACCTTAGCACTTGGACTTCTCCACGCTCGATTACCCCTTTGACGAAATGCAGCCTCACATCAATGTGCTTGGTTCACTCATGATAGGCTGAATTCTTCGACAGGTGTATTGCACTTTGATTATCACATTTAACAGTGATAACTCGACCTTGAAGTTTTAGCTCATTTGCAAAACCTTCAAGCCACAATGCTTCCTTCACAACTTCAGTTAGGGCAATATATTTCGCTTCAATAGTTGATAAGGCAACGAACTTCTGAAGTGTTGCTTTCCAATTGATTGTTGTCCCAAACATAGTGAACACATATCCAGAAACAGATTTTCTGGAATCCATACAACCTGCATAATCAGAGTCGACATATCCTTCGATTGTTGCTTTACTATTTTCACCCAAGGCTCCACCATAAATTAGGACTCTATTCAGAGACTCATTTATGTACCTTAGAATCCACTTCAATGCTTGCTAGTGAGCCTTTCCAGGATTTTCCATTTACCTGCTTACAAGACTTACTGCATATGTTATGTCAAGTATAGTACAGACCATAACATACATAAAAGAACCTACTATGTTAGCATATGGAATGCTATTCATATAAGTTCTTTCAACATCAGTGTTGGGACACTGATCTATACTTAGCTTGAATTGAGGGTTTGTCAGAGTCACAACAGGCTTTGAATTTGACATACCAAACTTTTCGAGAACCTTCCATAGATAATCCTCTTGAGATAAGCATAATTTCGACTGCTCTCTATCTCTTTGGATGTCAATCCCAAGAGTCCTGGACGCAGCTCCCAGATCCTTCATGTCGAACTCCTTATTGAGTTCAGCCTTCCCCCTCATTACCTCTTCGACATTGTTGCTTGTTATTAGAATATCATCCACATAGAGCAACAAAATAACAATTGAATTACCCGGTCGAAATCTGAAGTAAACACAGTGGTCAAACTGACTTCTGATGAAACTTATATGTGTCATGAACTTGTCGAATCTCTTATTCCACTGTCGAGGATTGTTTCAGTCCATATAAGGATCTATTCAGCTTACACACATGACCTTCCTTCCCTTTTTCGACATACCCTTCAGGTTGCCTCATCAGGATTGTTTTATCTAAATCACCATACAAGAATGCAATATTCACATCCATCTGTTCTAGTTCAAGGTCGAATTGTGCCACTGTGGCAAGCAACATTCGAATGGATATGTGCTTCACAATAGGAGAGAGCACATCATTAAAGTCGACACCTTCTTTCTGAGTGAACCCCCTAGCAACCAATCTTGCCTTGTATCTCTTCGATGCCACTCCTTTGATTCCTTCCTTAAATTTGAAAATCCATTTACAGCTGACTAACCTAGCTCCAGCATGTTTCTTGATCAGTTCCCAGATACTGTTATCATGAAGAGATTTCATTTCATCATCCATGGCCTTCATCCATTCAGTCTTCTTTCAGCTCATCATAACTTACTTATAGTCTCTAGGTTCTTCGTCTAGAACCTCACTTGCAGAGGTTAAGACATAAGTTATAAGATATGCATACCCAAGCCTCTGAGGTGGCTTAATGACTCTCCTCGACCTGTCTCTTGCTAGAAAGTAGTCATTATCAGTCTCCTCATATTTGACAACATCTTCTGCGCCTTCTTCGACTTCTTCTGGGGTACGCAATTCAGCATCAACATGCTCCACCTCAATAAAAATCTCTCCCTGTTCCAGCTCTTTGTCAACATCATCAATTTTCTTGAAATCCATCTCTGCTTCATTGAAAACTACATCTCGACTGGTGATACACCTTCTGTAACCTGGCTCTAGGCACCATAGCCTATAAGCTTTGACTCCTTTAGGGTATCCCATGAACATGTATTTCAAAGCTCTAGGTTCGACCTTGTCTTGTCTAGTATAAGCATAGGCATCGTAGCCAAATACTCTCAGTTTGTCGAGACTAGGTGGATGTCCCGACCAAACTTCTTTAGGTGTCTTCATTTCCAAGGCAGTCGAGGGACATCTATTTATCAGGTAAGCTGTTGTCGAAACAGCTTCCGTCCAAAACACCTTCTTCAATCTAGCACTAACCAACATGCATCTAACCCTTTCAAGGATTGTTTGATTAAATCTCTTAGCTAATACATTTTATTGAGGAGTACCTGTTATAGTCTTATGCCTTGCAATCCCAAACTCAACACAGTAACTGTCGAACGCTTCGTTATAGAATTCAAGGCCATTGTCGGTTCTCAACCTCTTGACCTTTCTGCCAGTTTGAGTTTCGACTAGAATCTTCCAACTTTTGAAATTCTCAAAAGTTTCATCCTTCATCTTCTGAATGAATACCCATAGCTTTCTGGAATAGTCATCAACGATGGATAGAAAATACCTTGCACCTGAGTGTGAAGGATTCCTTGTAGGCCCCCAAAGATCTGCATGAATGTAATCTAGGGATCCATGTGTTCTTTGCTTTCCTTTGTTAAACTTCACCTTACAGGATTTACCAAATACACAAGATTCACAAAACTCCAACTTTTCGACTTTGTCACCTCCTAGCAGGTTCTGCATCCCCAATTCGACCAGGCCTCTTTCAATGACATGGCCCAATATCATGTGCCATAATTTTGTCTTCGACACAGGTTTCATAGATGCAACATTTGTCAAACCACTTACAACCTCAGCCTCAAGGGTATACAAGCCTTGTTTCTTCACGCCTCTCAAGAATTCCTTCGACCCCTTCATGACTCTTAGGATACTTTTCTCTCCATAAAAAATGTATCCCTTTCTGTCGAATTCACCAAGAGAAATCAAATTTCTCTTTAGGTCAGATACATACCTAACTTCAGTCAATAACCTTATTGACTCATCATGGAGCTTGAATCTCACAGATATAATACCTGCAATTTTGCAAGATTTGTTGTTTCTCAACAGCACAGA